GCAACGCTGGCCATCCTTCACACTGACCACGCAATATTTGCAATTAATTATGATAACTTAACTTGATAAGATATTGGGGTCTACTTCACAAGCTGAGAAAATTTTGTACTGTAGTTAGCTCAGGTTTGGAAGTAGCATAGATAGCTAAGCATAGAGCTTAGGTAAAACTATAGAATTAAAAAGAAAGTCAATATCAGTCTGAGAGTACCCTTTTCTGAGACTCCTAATAACAAAAAGACATTTGTTGGCTTCTAGCAGCTTATTTCTAATGTGCACTGTGAATCTGGAATTACTTTGGAAGGTGATACCTAGTAACTTAATTGTGTCTACCTGCTTAATGTTATTTACCGGACTATAGCTTACTTTAGTTTTCTTCTGAAGACACAGTTCATTRCATTTAGAAACATTACATGGCATACAGTTTTGATCAGACCATTTAAGGTACTGGTTAACTGCAGTGTCCTGAGATCTATCTGGACCAGACTTACAAATAGTTACTTGCATAGTAGTGTCATCAGCATACTTAATAAGATGAGTCATAGGATCACTTTCAATATTGAGATCATTTATAGAAAGATTTTAAAAATATATAAGGCCCACTGACGCTACCTTGTGTGGTGCCCTTGTTGACATTGTGCCAACTGAAAACCTTACTTCTAAAAACTAAACGCTGCTTCCTGTTTTTCAAAAAACTAAGATACCAATTGATAAGGATTAAGATTAAGGGCTTTCAGTTTCTGACTTAAAAGTAAATGTCTAACATTATCAAAAGCTTTAGAAAAGTCCATGGAAAAAAGTCTAATTGATTCTTAACAAGCATTGCACAAAGTTAATCGTAGCGAAAAAAAAAACACACGAAATAACCAAGTGTACATAGACATGCTGATCTTAAATCTTCTAAGCTAGCTAGGTTCCCCACACCTAGAGATAACCACGCTCAGCAGCTTCGACAAAATTCTTACAAACAGCGCTGTCTGAGGGGTTAGGAACATCCAATGGAATGAAAGAATGAAACCATTTTAAGCAGCGTGAACTAAAAGATCCTAGTGTAAGACTTGGATTGTTTGTAAACTGACATTCTAAAATATTTAGGATACTACGTGCGCTGTGATTGGTCGAAAACCATGTTTGATTACAGTATCAAAACACGCTCGTTTCATATCGTATCAAAAGTCAGAATTCATTACAATTTTCTTACTCTTTTAATTTTAGAAAAGAAATAAAAGACGAAATTCCGTGTTTGATATTCTGATCAAAACAGTTGGGATGTAGGGAGAGCACTCGAAACAGATTTCTGATCATTACTAATAAAACCCGCACTCTTTAAATCCGATCTTATTCTTTGGCAAACAGCTTTGCATAACTCTTCATCGTATTCAATTATCAATCCGTCATCCAAAGATATGGCAATATTTACTCCCTGAAATCTCCAGTATCTTTCCAACACCTTAACAACTTTTGTGAAGATAAAGGGGGCTGACAATAACCCAAAAGGTAACACTGTAAAAACAATATAACGATTGCGGAAACAATAACAGATAACACTGAAAATCGCTCTGAATATCGATGAGGTGGTATCCACTCTTTAAATCAAAAGAGGTCATAAATGTACTGATCTGGAAATAATTCAAGGCAGTTTTATAGTCTTCAAACTTGAATTTTTGCTTCAATGCCAATTCACGTGCCTTATGTCCAATCCTTTTCTTACCCCAAGACTGAACTGAAACACTTAGAGGATTAACGATAAATGGGGCATCTTTACATTCCCTAATTCTTCCAGTGTCCAATAATTCACAAATTGCTTCGACAAAATCCGAATGACATAAAGCTGATTTATTGTTCTTGAGATAAACCTCCGGAGGCAACGATTCAAAAACTAGTCTATAACCCTGGCTTATAACTGATAGAATATACTGAGGTGAACCAATCCTCCTCCAGAATTAAACATTCCTTTAAAGTTTTCCTTTTTATATTGCAACTTCTTCGGGATCTTTCATATTCGTAGAGATCAAGATTATTATTTACCTCAACAAAACTGCAACTATTGAATCACACTTGTTTGGAGGAAACATCGTTGAATGGTCTTGGGGTATTTCTAGGAGGGTAGACTCCTCCCGAACAGTAGAGCCCATTCCAGTTATTGGTATGTTGACTCCAGCCGACCCTATATGTTCTGACCCAGTGGCCCAGTCCCAAGGGGACTAAAACATACAAGACTCTCAAGTGAATACATTATATTCCGTTAGAAAATACATTTACGTTCTAATTCGCTACGCTCAACCGAACGTAAATTATTTTCAACCTTAACACAAATAGAATACACAAGTGAATTATGATGGTTTGTTGCTCAGGCAATCCAACCAAATCTGAGACATCTTCGGAAAACAATTCTGGTGAAGCAGTGCTAATAGACGG